ATCGTACGTTTCCTCCAGGGGACAATGCACTGTGCAAAACCGCGACGCGATCGCCAAAATGGACGCGAAAGTGGCGGACGGTTTGTGGCGTCAGGGTAATTTCCGGCACCAGAACAATCGCACCTTTTCCCAATGCGAGCGCGTGTGCCACAGCCCGAATATAGACCAGTGTCTTGCCACTACCCGTCACCCCGCGCAAAAGGTGAACCCGAAAAGCACTTTCATCAATACTTTGTCTAATCGTCTGGATGGCACGCGCTTGATGGGGCGTAAGCGTTACATCCTCAGGCGGGGGAAGGTCGGCATCGGCGTAGGGGTCGCGCACCACTTCGCGATCGAGAAAACATATCAAATTGCGCTTGACCAATTCTCTCAGTACGCCCGATGAAATCCCTTCTGCAGACAATTGTGCGGCCAACAAGGGGCGATTTTCTGAACGCAGGCGGCGAATGCACTGCGCCTGGCGAGGGGCGCGTTTTTCAAGTATAGGCAATTCCAGATCAAACCAGCGCGGATCATTGGGCACAAGTGCCACCGCGCGTTGGGTTTTGGTTTTCACTCTTGGTGCTGACATCTTTTGAAACGCGACCAGAACACCCCGCCTCAACAGGCCGTATATCGCGGGCTGTACGCCCTGTTTTCCAAGTCGATTTTGAAGTTGGCGCATCGATGCCGAACCGAGTTCGCCCAAAGCGGCGACGACCTCGCGCTGGCGTGGGGAAAGCATGCGACTGATCGCGGCATCAAAGTTTTTTTCAAGGGCAAAATGCTGCCCACTATCCAAGTGAATGCCCGATGGAAGAGCCGCAGAAAGGACTTCCGAGAGACTGCACAGATAATACCATGCCATCCACTTGCACAATTCGAGCATCGGCGGTATCACAAGCGGATAAGAATCGAGGATTTGGGCAATGGTCTTGACGCGATTGGAGGGCAGATCGCACGTTTCGCAAAAGCCGACCACAATACCCGTGACCCAGCGTTCTCCAAAAGGAACGAGAACGCGGCAACCCGTTTGCAGATCGTCCTGAAGATCGTCGGGAATGCGGTAGGTGAATGTATCGAGGGATGTGCCCAGGGGAACGATTTGTGCGAAAGGATGCGCCATAGAAACTATCGGCCTGTCTGCGGGCCAGAAGGCGTGTCGCCGAGTTCTTCAACTTTGATGAGAGTGCGAAAAATAGTCAGGCGAAGGCTGCGATCGGGTGGGCTGGCAAATTCGAGAGGTTGGTTCTGCAGTGAAAGCGAAGCCGAGCCGGCACGCTGTATCTCCACTTGAAAGCGGTCATGTGCCAGCCAGCGTTGCTGCTGTCCCATAGGAAGCACACCAGCAAAAACCCCGCGGCCATCGGCAGTAATGGATAGAGGCGCGTTTTCTCTTGCGACACCAGAAAGGGTCATGATTTCTCCTTCGGCAATGACGCCGGGAATAGGCAAATTATATGTGGAGAGCACAACGGGCGCTGTTTGGGAAGTTGGCGTCTCCGCCACAATACCCGTGTCTCCCGAAGTGCGAGTACCCAAGGAGGAAGGCATAACAAATTCTGTGCTGTCTCGCAGTTGCATCTCTTGTACGGATTGCGCGCTATCTTGTATTTCAGGCGGCATCTCCTCTTCGGAAATGCTTATTTGTTCGGTTGAGATAACAGATTCCGTGCTATCTGGTATTGGAAGAGGTGATGTGGTTGTATCGAGGGGGGCTGTGAGCGGTGTTTCCTCACGCAAATTGAGAATGATGATCACCACTGCAATCACCGCGAATGCGAGCAATGAGATAAATATTTTGCTGCGGTCTATCCCGCGTTCTGGAGGGGACTGTACTATAACCCGCTCACGCGGCAACGCAACGCTTCTTTCAAAAAGAATAAGGATATCCCGAACATTGAGGTTGAGTGCCTTGTGCATAAGTTTTGAGAAATAAACGCGCATAAGCTACGGGCAATAAATCGAATTGGCCCGCTTCAAGCACCTTGATAAACTCGGGATTGATCCGCGTGTGTTCGTAAATATCGCCGATACTCAGACCCAAATTCTCGCGCTGCATTTTGAGTAACTCAGCGATTTCTTGTTTTTGATCTGACATGGATGGTTGTATTTCCCGTTGTATTGTTAAATAGAATTTGTCGCGTCCCTATTTTCGGGTATGATCGCCCAGAGCGATTGCCCGGCCAGACGGTGATAAAGGCTCCAAAAGCACGCAAGCGGCAAACCCACCACATTGTAGAAGCAACCGGATATAGATTGTATAAATGCAGAGGCGCGCCCCTGCGCGCCGTAAGCACCGGCTTTGTCCATAGAATCCCCAGTGGCGACATAGCGTCGCAATATCCTCCGATGAGAGCACGCGCATGGTGACGTGGGTAGTTGCAACTTCTGTGAGGGTCTGTCCGGTTTCTGTATCTGTGAGAGCCAACCCTGTATAGACCTGATGGGTTTTTCCCGAAAGTTGCGCCAGCATGTCTGCGGCGTGTTTGGCGTCATTCGGTTTTTCGAAAATCGCATCTTCCAATGCCACAATTGTATCGGCTCCCAAAACGAGCGCGTGGTCAAAACGATGGACAACAGCCTTTGTTTTGCGCTGTGCGATTTCTCGCACGTGTTCGGCGGGTGGCAAGATGGTATCCAGAGCCTCATTGGCATTGCTCGGCGCGATCTCAAACGGAATATCCAACAAGCGCAATAAACTCGCACGCCTGGGTGAGGCAGAAGCGAGAATCAGTTTCTTCATATCTCTGAGTCAATCATCAATGTAACGGGGCCAGTGTTGTGAATTTCAACCTGCATATACGCGCCAAAAACGCCGGTTTCAGTGTGAATGCCAAAGGTGCGGAGGCGCTGGACAAATTGCTCGTACATGGATTTGGCAATATCTGGTGGAGCAGCCCGATTAAAACTCGGACGGCGGCCTTTGCGGGTGTCGGCGTGCAGGGTAAATTGCGAAACCACCAGCGCCTGCCCACCCGTGTCGAGCAGAGATCTGTTCATTTTGCCCTGATTGTCTTCAAAAATTCTCAAATTTACACATTTCTCGGCAACATATTCCATATCCGAAAGACCATCGGTATCGCTAATACCCAGCAGGATCAAGAGACCGCGATCAATTTGCCCAACAACTTGTTCTTCAACGCGAACCGTTGCTCTGCATGCCCGCTGAATCAATGCTCGCACGCTACCCTCCATTGATAGAAATGCATGTATCATTTATAAGGCATTTACGACTGTGTTGCAAGGTAGATGTAAAACGTGGAGGAATTAGGTCTACCTCTTTCATTTCACCTCTCACGGCCTTCAATTCCAAACCCCCCGCGGCGGTGCTCAAATTTTATTTGCGGAATATCTTTGATATTGATCTTAAAAAAGAAGCCCTTATTGAAACCTGCGGGATACCATGAAAACCGCGCTTCCCAACAGTGGAGATCGCGGTGAAGAGATAGGCTTTGCGCCGAGATTTTGGCATCGGGCAGAACATCGATATTGATCGAATAGTCAATTCTTATGAATTGGCGAGGATTGATGCCAACATCTGCTTTGATCCAGGATGTTTTGCTCGTTGTATTGCCGAACCGCCGCATGGAAATGTGGTGGGAGAGATTGAATCGCCACGGTTGGCTAGCACCGCCGAAATCGCTGTACAGATCGCGTTCAAAGCCAAAATCTGCGCCATATCCACCGCTGTATCCACCACCATATCCAGCATCATACCCACCGTCATATCCATCAGAAAAAGCGGACTGGATAGTCGTATTGCCTCGTTCAACTCGACCGCCAGAAAAACGGAAATTGGAGGTAATAGTCAGGTTCTGCATGCGCGGATGCAAAAGCGACCGCTGGCCTGTACTGTCATAGAGCGTGTGGGTCATCGCAATGCGAACATCCACGCGGCGGTCGGGTTTGAGAGATGCACTGGCGCGAAGCGGACGCCATTTTTGTCTCGGCGAGTCAAAATCGTATCCCGTTGACAGATTGAGAGTCGCTAGAGTAAAGCGACGCACATCGTCGTCGCGCTGAGTTTTGAGTTCAAAAGTATTGCCGATATTAAAATTTATACTGCGTCTGGCATCGTCCCATCTGCGATTGCCCCCAAACCCCATGGTCCCCTGAAAGATACTTCCCGATTGGTTGTAATTGAAATTGAGCCGGGGCTGAAAACGATGCCGAATGCCGCGCAACCGACCGATTTGCGGTTGGAAGATGCCGTATAAAGTCGTACCTGAAGTCAGCGCCGCATTATAAGACGTGCGTCGAGTTGTCGAATCGGTATCGCTATATATAAATTCTTCGCTAAAATTAAAACCCGGCGTGAGATTGAGCCAGCCCATGGGACGGTGTTGGCTGTTGACGGTGACATGGTTTTGAAGAGAAACGCGCTCTGTATTGGGTACCGGGTCGAGGTTGCGTGCAAAATTATTGGACAGGGTGTTCGAAAAACCGTAGTAAAAGGCGCGATACCACGGTCCCGTAACAGATGTGGGTTCATTGCCGCCAAATATGCGGCGCCTGGGTTGTCGAAAGCTGAGGCGGGGAAAGCCCTGAAAACTATTATTTTTTGTTCTCAGGTCGCGGTAATACGTCAGACTGCCGTCAATGCTGCGCCCGGATTCTGTCCAGCGTTTATCAAAAGAAAAACTGGATCTCAATTGCCGGTTGAGATAGCGATAGAGATTGTTGCTATTGCGACGGTCAAAATTGGTACTGGTGGAAAACTGCCCGCTGCCCCCTGATATTGGTCGTGGCGTTGATGCGTTGCTGGTGTTGCAAATTGACGCGCCAATTGTGGGCGGTGTTTGCCTCTGAGGTATCGTGGTCGTATCCGATATCCATTGAGCCGCTGAACCGATTGCGTCTGGCATAGGCAAATCGCGATTCGAGCAAAAATCCACCGCGCTCGCGCAAAGTGCTCTTAACCGTGAGCATCCCAGTATTCACTCGGTGCAAAATAATATCCCAAATTGTGAACAAAAATGCCATCGCGGCTATTGCTACCCACGCCCGGAGTGAGCAGGCCCGATTGCCGCCCGCGCTTGACGGGAAAAACGAAAAAGGGAACCCAGAAAACGGGAATCGGGCCAATGCGAAAGGTGACAGACCGCCCAATCGCTTTGTCGTCTTGCAAAATACGCACATTTTTGCACAAAAAATCGTAGTGTACATGGTCGCGATTACAAGTGCTCAAAGAGAGATTCAGAGCATTCAGTACTTTTTGACCGTCGAGCGCGATGTGGGCACCGCGATAGTGTTTGCGCTGATGTGACGCGCGCCCCTCTCGCACACTGCCGCGTTCTGTATCGAGATCGTAAACCATGTACTCACCCGATATTTTCTCGCTGCCGCGGGTAAATTGAGGCGGGCCAACGGTTTCTGCCCCGGTGGAATCGGGCAATGCGCGTGCTGTGACACGCCGGGTATTTTGATCGTACGTAATATGACCCGCTTTGAGTTGTAAATCGCGATAGCGCAAGGTGGCGTTGCCGATCAATTCGACGCGCCTGGTCTGTACGTGATAGACGACCTCGTCGGCGTCAAATACTATGGAATCGCCAGCGGCTTTTTGTGGCAAAATGGGTTGGCACCATCCCGGCGTAATCGCAAATAACAGGAACACAACGAGCCACACGGCTTGTTTTTTATTGTAGATATTCATAATTTTGAAAAATGTGTTGCGGATTTTGTGGAATACAAACGTAAATTCGGGATTTGGAAAAGTCAACAGAGGTTCCACAGTGGAATCTGCAGGTCAATGTTTTGCTTCATGTCCCCTACAAACAATAAAATACCTCAATTGTTCCGTTTTATTCTTGATACATTTTGAAGAAACCTATATTTTTTAACCCCTTGACACATTATCAGTCGCACAGTTTTGAAGCGACTGCGGGCGGACGTGGTGGAATTGGCAGACACGCCAGATTTAGGATCTGGTGGGGTAAAACCCGTGGGGGTTCGAGTCCCCCCGTCCGCACCATAAAAATATGACTTCCTTCCGTGTTAAATTTTCCCCTCTCGCGCTCAGCACCGTCAGTTTGCTGAGCCTTCTGTTCTTATTCCCCTGGTCGCTATCCACCCAGACCAGCAGTTTTTCCCTTTCTCTGGACTTGGATAGCTCTGAAGGCGATCAATCTATCTCATCTCTTGATGTATTCCCCAATCGCACGGTTTCCATCCAAATCTTCGGCACAGATATTCAGCAGGCAAGCGATATTTCCCTGCGCTTTGAATTTGATCCCACTCAGGTTGCGTACGAAGGATTTGATGCTGGCGATATCTTGCCCAATGCACAGGTCGTTGGCGAACAGAACTCAAGCTCCGTCCAGATCAACATGGCGTCAGATGGATCTGCAACAGTGAATGCGGGGCTGATCGGCACAATTCATTTTCGCACGACCGATGCGTTTTTAGAAACAGACATACGATTGGTGCGTGCGGAACTTATCCGGGATGAACAACCCGATACAGCGTCTTGTCCCTCAGCGTTGCCTTACTTTCCGCAGCATCTTCTCCAGATTTTGACAACAGTGGGACGGTTGGTATTCCCGACTTTTTGCTCTTTGTCGATGCGTTTGGATCAAAGGAAGGCCAAGAGCAGTATGAAGCAAAATACGACTTGAATGGCGATGGCGAGATTGGGATCCCCGATTTTCTGACCTTTGTCGATAGCTTTGGCAAAGAGGTAAACCGCGTGCCGATCTTCGCCTCAACGCCTCCCGTAACGCGCTCAGTAGATGAAAACACCCCGTCTGGACAGCCCATAGGCGAACTCATCTCTGCGACCGATGGCGATGGCGATATCCTCACCTATCGCCTCAGCGGTGCAGACGCCGATAGCTTTGCTATTGACCCAAGCACAGGGCAAATTCAGACCAAAGGAAAGTATGACTTTGAGCAAAAGAGTAGCTACTCCGTCATCGTGATCGTCAGCGACGATGAGGGTGGCAAGTCCAGTCTTGTTGTGACCATCGCCATCACCGACATAGACGAACTGACTGGCACTCTGCCCTCGAATGTGATGGTAGAAGAGGTGATAGCAAATTGATCGTGCGTTGGGATGCCGTGTTAGATGAGGAGGACAAGCCCCCATGTCATCGGGTATGAAGTGGGTTATCGCGAGCGTCCAGACCCATTCGATCCACCACGAGAAAATAGCAATGAATGGAAAGGTATTCAGCAGTGTCAGCAGTCAGTTGGATAGCCTGATCATCACGGGACTGCTCAACGGCCAGGCGTATTTGGTGAGCGTGCGCACGCTCGTCGATGGGGGCATGAGTGCGTGGTCCTCGCCCGTTTTAGGCATCCCGGTGATACCGGCAGCGGGGCCAGTATTTCCGGGCGGTGGTGGCGGTGGTGGCGGCGGTGGTGGCGGTGGTACGACGACGCCTCCTCCTCCCCCTCCACCACCACCTCCTCCTCCGCCGCCGAGTAATAAGCCCCCGACCTTCGACGACGGCTCGAGCACTTCGCGTAGCCTCGCCGAGAACACGCCAGGCATCCAGGACATCGGCAGCCCAATAACCGCCACCGATCCCGAAGGCACCACCGTGAGCTACCGACTTGCAGGTGGCGATACGCAGCAATTCACCATCGACTCAGACAACGGTCAGCTTCGCACACAGACCGGCGTGAATTACAACTATGAAGTGAAAAATCGCTATTCGGTGCGGGTGGAAGCGCGAGATGAACAGGGCGGGCGACCATCACCGTGACCATTGACATAACCGATGACGATAACGAAAGACC